GCTTTGGGGACCCTCCTACTGCATGTGGACGAACCACACACGGAGCGCTGACAGAAGAGCTCTCAAAGGAGGGCAATCAGGCTGCGAAGCGCATGCAAGAGGAAATCGAACGTCTCGATGGGGAAAACATCCGGGCGGGCTGGGCTGTATGAGGTCGCTACTGGGCGATAGTCTGATTACTGGATATGAGAAGGCCTAGAATGGCATTCTTGTGGGCAACAAGTGAGGTGGATTTCTGGTGGTAGCCGACGTAGGTAGCATCCTTGAAAGATGCTCCTCCGCATGCCTCCCTTGTCTCTCCATAGACGGCGTTGCATTCTGACAGCGCTTTCAGGGCATGAGTACTGATGCTGTTGATCAACTCCCAAGTTTGAGAAACGGATGATCCATCAATTCGCGAGCTGTCTTCCTCTTCTCCGGGAGCCAGGTGAGCATTTGTCGAGCAAAAGATAAAAATGCTTCTCGATCCTTCTCTTCGAAGAATTGGATTGTGTCCTCTAAGCTTCGGGACGGAATCAACTCATTATGGCGGAATTTATCTTGAACAGTCAGTATGCCAGGCATTGAAGTACGGGTTACTTGTCAACCCACCTTCTGCGTTAAAGAAAGGGCCATCGAAGAACTCTTGAGCATTATTGCAGAGCTTGCCAGCATCGTTCGTGACAGGCTGGGGCCAGTTGCGCTCTGACATGGCCTTTAACTTCGCGAGCAATACCCCGGGGGGCGGGCCGAGTAGAGCAATCATTTCCGCGAGGTGTGACTTTGCATCATATTGGCCGTTTGTATCATGCACCTGCTGGAACAACTCCTTGCTCCCAAGGATATTCCACAACTTGCCGAACAAAATTATTAGCATTAAGCCCAAGCCAGCGATTGCAACCAAAGAAAAGGAAGTAAAAGAGCACGTCGTGTTGTACATTCACCTCTAGAAAGCAGTGACGGGGGTCTTACCAATACCCCAAAATTCCAAATATCTGCCTTAAAGTCCCAACCGCAGCCAAGGATTACCTCTGGAGCACGATAATAGTCTGGTTGAATAGGATAAATGCCAAGTTGCTCTCCTACCATTCCGTCTCAAGTAGACGGCTTGTCGAGTCTCATTGCGAGCCCGAAATCGGCTATTTTAGGAATCAGATTCTCGATTTCTCTCCCATCAAGAGCACCGAAGTCATTATGGCAGCGGTAGATAGTCCGACCACTCTCGCCATCAACTTTGTATTGCATCGGTTGTTGTCGTTTGATAAAGTTGGCAAGAATGTTTTCATTTTCAAAGCTCATGAGGACATTCCCCAGCTTTAGATCTGATAGGTAGGTTAGGTCTTTATAATCCAGAATAGTCAGAGGAGAATTGCGACAAGCATTCACCCGTGTGGACAACTTTGCACTCTGAGTGAAGATAATCAAGACCAACAAGGAGGAAGTAGATATAGGCCTTCGCAATGGGCAGCGGAAGCTTGCGATCAACAAAACGCCTCTATAAAATCCAGAGAGGCTCTCTCATCGGCTCATACACGAGGCACGTGTGCTTTCCTTCCGGGCCAGTTACCTCAAAGTCATCCATGCATGTCCGTAGAATCACGCGACCACGATGCTCTGGATCTTGCTGCGAGATATGGCTCTCAATCTCCTTTTCATGCCGAGCATCGTCGGAATTGTTGCTGTTAATTATTTTCAAAGCCACTGTTTGTTCAGTTTGCCATTTCAGTCTTGATTGTGAGGGCCAGGGTCAGTTTCTCGGTACTCAATATGAGGCGGATGTGGATAGATACCTTGAAATGTCTTGGGCGAGCCATACGATTGATTGTGATCCCCATCCGATTTTGACAAGTAGTTTAAATTTCTTGGCCAGTACTTCTCCCGACTTTGCTGGGTAGAAAGCCGCCGAACTGTAGTTAGGACAAACCTCCTCGTCGACAAGTTCCCGCTGAGGAATTGAAGGCCCCTTGTCGGGCGGTAACCGCCAGAGCGGCTTTCTGGCGAAGGAGAACATAGTACGCCGCGGCGTCAAGGACAGCCGCCGAAGAGGTAACATTAGGTCATTCAAGCGCTATTGGAATGCTGGAGACGATCAAGTACCCTGGGAAAGGTACAGGAAGCTGAGCTCGAAGTTCCCTAAATGGCCGCCAGGCGGCTGTAGGGCTGAGACAGTCTTGGCGGGGGTTGGAAAACGGTCAGATTTTAAAAGCATGAGTAAGCTTTTTGCAGAACATATCGGTGAATTAACTTGAGTAATGGAGGGATACGGATGGATATAGCTCTTCACTTCTGTTTGTTTAAAGTAGCTGATATTAATGCATCCAGACCTGCCGCAACTGGACTTGGCCTCATATTCGCTTATTAGTGAGTGATTAAGTCAGCGATTTTATATCACCAACCAATTTTGCGTAGTACCTTCCTACTGGAATTATTCTTGCTTTCCTCTAGTTTAAGTGTGTGTACTCACCAGTTGCCAGGGGTAGATACAGTACAACCGAATCAAACAATACTCGAGGAGTAGCAATCGAATCGTTCCTAGATAGTATAGAACCACCCCGAGTTTGTGATAATATTACGCCGGGCAAAATTGGGACTTTTACCATTAGCCTCAAGCACCAGATTCCCCTCCGCATCCAGTGATTCTGGCGGCACCGACAGCCTCAGTAGATCCTTATCAGCAGGGGCCACCTTCTTGGTCCAACCAGGCAGTTCCTCCGGAGTGAAAGGCGGCCATGGGTCTCCATCTTCTTCACGATACACATGCTCTCGATTCCTCCGCAGACCCAGGCTCAATCTCCAATTTACTGCCTCGTGCAATTCTTCAACAATGGATGCGACAATCGCATACCGAAGCGGATCAGGATCTCCCGGGTCTGGTATGTCCCGTAGCTTCCAGTCTCGGCGATAAAAGAAATATTCCGTTTCCCACCCCACCAGCTCGTAATGATCAGCGAGGTGGAGCTCATAGAGCCGGTAAATCGAGCGCAGGGGCGTATCGCGCATGCGCCAGATAGGAATAGCGCGGAGATTATGGATATCGTCAAAATGAGATGTGATGATGCCGGTCTCGTTCTTCTTATCTTCGATAAGCTCACGGAGAGAAAATGGACCGGGGATTGGGAAGGACCAGGACGGATAGGGGATGAACATGCGCAGGAGCGTGAGCAGGGGATACTTGTTCTGATGACTGAGGCGGATGCGACTACCACGTAGTCGGAGGGGTGAGTGTGCGTAGCGAAGCCACGTTCGAAAACGAGCCCACAGAGATATCTTGGGACGGCGACGTGGAGGCATTGATGGCAGGTTCACTGAAGAGCGACAAGGTGGAATAACAGATTACAGTCACAGTCTTGTGATGCAGAGTAATGGTTGGACTGAGGCTAATGAAGCGCCAGCCTGCTTACTGTATTAGGTAGTGATATAGCAGGCCATGCAGAAATGGAAGATAACATTATGTGGCTAGAGGCATTATTAGTCTAAGGGATTTTTTAAAGATTGTTAGCTTATCTCACCAGGGACATAGGAGCCTAGGATCTTTATTACCTTATAATTATTACCACTGGCTGACTTAAGAAGCTTACCTATATTGATATTCATGCTAACACCAACAGCACAAATAAAACAGGTGCTGCTAATAAAGAGATTAAAAGAAAGCTAAGAGCTATTAACATCTATAGACAGTAAAATACTGGCCCTAAGTGTATTTACTCATGTTAGAGTGGTGTAGAATAGGTGTGTAAGAAAACTTAAGATAGATGTTTGTAAGGAAGTTATTAGGCAGCTTTATATTAGTTTAATTCTACAGGGTACCTATTAATATCAACTTGACATGATACTAAATACTCAAACTGCCAGCCTGTGCCTAATATGTGAAGTTTCGATATATGGTTAAGAAAAGAGGGCATACCATAAATGTGTTCTCTTCAGCCTTGGACAACCTGACGATGGTACTAAAAGGGAACCATATAGCTAGCTCTGAGCCCTAAGATTACTGTTTGGCTGGATATCAAACTAATATCAAATCGTCCTCTAGTAGTATTGGTATTGAATACCATCTAATATTAACATCAAATCACCATAGTATCAATTATACCCCCTGGACCATTCAGGCTTTTGTATGGTAATAGCAAGATCAATAGGAATAATATGATGCTGGACATAGCACAGGCATACCTTAGCAAACTAATCTGATTCCAATATCACTTATACTCTAGAAAGATGAATTCTCATCTAGGAGGGATATTGAATGCCATCTAATATTGCATAAAGTCACCATAGTATCAATAATTCAATATTGAATCATCATCTAGTAGGAATATCAAATACTTAATATTAATAAAGAATTATTATATAGTATTGATATTGAATTTTTATATAGATTAACATTGAATCACTATACCATTAATATCAATACTGAGAATTCAATATTGATACTATGGTGATCGTGACTTGATGTAAATATTAGATGGCATTCAATATCCCCATTACTGCATGGCATTCAAAGTCAAGATGATGATTTAATATTGATTCGATAGCCCTACTAAATGAGAATTTGATATTCATTTGTTATCCCTACTATATGAGATTTCAATATCAATATATGGCACTTCACTTCTTCGAGCCTTTCCGGAGTATAAGTGATATTGGAATCAGATTAGTTTGCCAAGGTGTGCCTATGCTATTTCCAGCATCATATTATTCCTATTGATCTTGCTATTACCATACAAAAGCCCGAATGGTCCAGAGGTACGATTCATCCTTCGGGGTAGAGCACCGCAAGGTGTACGCTTCGGCTCTCAAAAGAGCCCTGTATGGATGAGACCCGCGTTCGAGTCGCGGTTCGGGCCTTCCTTTTTTGGAAAACTTTTTTTGTTCCGTCCCTCCTTCCTTGTTGGGGTTGGGTGTGTTGATGTCGTCCCTCCTCACTTTTTATCATATGTTAATTATTAATGTATAATAAATAAATAATACTTGTTGTATTATAGGAAAGGATAAGCTCTTTTCCCTTTGTTTTCTCTCTCTTTACTTAAGATTGATTGAATAATGGCCAGTTGTCTTTAATCAATCGAGGTTGTGACAATACCGCCCGAAATATATATATCCATGTACAATGTCTATTGTATTCACTGTCTAGAACTAACTCTCTCTAGAATCTACCGCATAGTCACCAACTCCTCTGCACTGGTCGGGTGGATAGCAACACAGCTATCAAAATCTTTCTTGGTAGCGCCCATCTTGATCGCAACACCGAAACCCTGCAGCATCTCGCCCACGCCGAGACCCAGAATGTGCAGACCGACAATCTTCTCCTCGGGACCGACACACACAATCTTGAACTCGGTAGGGTTCTTCTTCTTCTCCTCTGCCGGGAGCACGTCGTAGTACATCGCGGTGAACTTGGTATAATAGACCTTGACCTTGTCGTCACCGTAGCGTTGGCGGGCCTGCGGCTCGGTCAGACCGATAGTGCCGACTTCGGGGTGCGCGAAGACGACAGTGGGAATATTCTCGTAGGACAGTTTGGCGGATTTGAGGGCCGGGGGACCAAACAAACGACTGCCGAGCTGGCGACCGGCTGCAATGGCGACTACACGAGGTAAAAGTATTTAGTCACGTTGTTCAACAGAGGGACAAAGAAGAGAGTAACGTACCTGGTGTCAGTTCCGCAACGCCAGTGACATCGCCAAGGGCATAAACACCCTCCGCCGAGGTATTCTGGTACTGGTCGACAACGACGTGGCCACTTTCGTTGAGCTTCACGCCGGGGACCTCGAGATGCAGATCCTCGACCTCGGGCTGACGACCGATAGCCCACAGCAGCTCGTTGAATTCCTCTTCCGACCCGTCATTGCCAATCAGCTTGAGCACTTTGTCCTTGCCCTTACCGTCCTTCACCAGCTGCACCTCCTTGAACCCGCCGTGCTTCTTGTGTATGCGCACGCCGGTCGCCTCGTACCGCTCCGTCATCGTCTTCTGAATCATAGGGTCGAACTTGCGCAGCATCGTCTCGCCCCGAATGAACATGTGAGTCTCCACGCCGACTGCGGCCATGACACCAGCCAGCTCGACGGCAATGTAGCCCGCACCCACGACAGCAACCTTGGGTGGGAGCTCCTCGATCTCAAAGAAGCCGTCGCTGGTGATACCATGCTCGGCGCCCTTGACAGGGGGGATAGTGGGCCGGCCACCGGTCGCAATGAGAATGTGAGGCGCTGAGTACCGCGCCTTTGCGCCGTCACTTAGCGTAACCTCGATGACCTTGGGTTCGACGAATCGAGCGCGGCCGTGCACGAGGTCGATGCCTTCCTTGCCCCAGTTTCTCTCGTAGGCACCGTTCAGACGCTTGATGACGGCATCGCGGGTTTCCTTGAAGTGACGGTAGTCGATCTTGATGTCCTTGGGGATGTCGTAGCCGTAGTGCTCGCCGACGTGGAGAGCTTCGTTGATGGAAGCGAAATTCCATGTCATCTTCTTGGGGACGCAGCTGCAGACCCTTCAGTTAGCATATCCCACGCTTCCCTGGGCCGCACGGGGAGCAAGGCACAGAACATACCCGACATTGACGCAAGTACCACCAGACCGCCCACTCTCCACGATCAGAGTCTTCGCACCGTACCAGCCAGCGGCACGCCGTGCGCTACCGCTACCACCACTACCACCACCCAAAACAATATAGTCATACTGCTGAACGTCCGTAGGAGCCATGTTGCTGGAGTCCGCCACAACCGCGGTCGATGAAAAGTGTCGAGAGAGTGAGGCGAGACGCGGCGCTGTCTTGGAAATCAGAGCGGGAGAATCCAGTTTTCGAATCGCAGATTTGGTTCGTCGATCTGCAACTGTAGAGATGACTCGAGCAGACTGAACGACAGTCGATGAACGGACCAGTTGCGGCACACGAGGTTTGAATGCTTGAGCTGGAAGCTGGATGTGAAGCGAGGAGCGGGAGAGCATGGAGGGTCCAGTTTTTCTGTTTTTTATTGACCCCTCTGCAGGTGGTGAATGTCGAATGAGGGGAGAAAGGAGGGAGGAAGGATGGATTATTCAGAGGGGCAAAAGCTAGCTAAAGTAATCAAGAGCTAAAATGGACGCTCGCAGGATTGAAGCTGGCGGGGAACCCGGACCGTGGTGGATGACGGAGAATACGGATTGCTGACGCACAAGTCAGCGGAGGAGAGCAGTAGGCAGTCAAATCAGATTACCGTCCACAACGACCAATTTGCCTCTCAATGGCTATCTTATAAGATTGACAGGCGCTTTCTGAGTTTCCTAATCTCCCGAATATGAACGCCGACTTCGCCGATATGCATTGATTTTAGCGTTCGAGGCTGGAGATTTGGTCATCGTAGCCACACGTGACGCGATTGATTGCTAAGCGTTTGGTGATGAACGGCACAGAAATGACAAATCCTTTAGAGTCAAGAAGGACATGAGAGATATGAGGTTGTCCTATTTTGGGAGATGATCTAACCCGAAATAAGGGTATCGAAACATTATGTATCTATTTACATGAGAGACAATAGGAATTCAAGCTGCAGGTACTTTACGTTTCAGAATTCATCACACAGAAGTAAAGCTTTGCAGCACGTAGATGTGAGTTCGAAGAGAAACAACAGCATCAATGATGAAAATTGCAGGTTGAAGGAAATGGAGAACTGCCCAGACGGCGCCAGCGCCAACAAGTCCTCCTTTCATGCACTCGCTCGGTCCAACAGGAGATAGAAGATAGAGAATGGGAATTATTGAAAAGAATGAAATGTTCAGGCGTTATAAGAGATGAGCTGACCCGATAGGATAGTCCTAAGAAAGTGACGGTAGCGAGGAGGGATCATCAAGCAGAGGGCTACCGGGCACTGCGTCCAGAGCCACTGCATGCAATGCAGGTTTCTCTGCCTCTTGTAGGTGTCCCCGTTGGCGACGTTCAATTCGCTCCTTGACCCATTCCGCCACTTCCTCATCCTCGGTTGCAGTACTCGTATCGGGCCCGCCAGGTTGGCCGCCGTCAGACGAAGCGGCAGATGTTGCCTCGGTACCATTCGACTCGGTCGGGGGTTGCATCAAGGGAGCAAGCCAGGGATGTCTGAGCAAGGTACTATACGAAGGGCGCTTGCTGGGATTTTTATCCAAGCAGGCGCGGACGAATGCATGCGCCTCTTCCGAATATCCTTCCTCCGGTAATGTTGGAGGATCCCCATGCACGATAGCCTTAAAATGACATTAGAATATGTTCGACCATGCAGATTTTGCAGATTAATTGAGAAAGGGGTTAAAACTCACATGCAACTGGCTGAAAATGTTGTTAAAAGTTTCCGGAGGATATGGATAGCGACCGATAGCGCATTCGATGATGGTCAGGCCCAAACTCCAGATGTCGCTCTGCACACTATAAGTTCCACCACCAGTCGCGCCGGACTGCTGCACGCCGCCTCCTGCAATACGTTCAGGTGCCATATAACTCTGGCAGCCGATATTTGTCTTCGCGATACTGGCGACCAAATTGCCGCTCACGCCGAAATCGCAAATCTTGATTTGACCTCGAGAATTGACAAGAATATTAGTAGGCTTCACGTCCCGATGAATGATGTTATGATCGTCTTTGAGGGTCTTCAATCCCATAACGGTGGATAATGCGACCTTTCGAAGAATGTTTTCGGGTACGCCGTCCTTGTAGAGTTTATCGATAGAGCCTCCGTCCATATATTCCACACACATATAGACCGCACCCTCCTGAAAGAAAGCGCCGTAGAAGTCGATAATGAATGGCGAAACGCAACGGTGCAAAATATCCAACTCCATGATAATCTGGGCAAACTTGTTTTCATCCAGTTCCAAGCGAATCTCCTTCATCGCCATAATGTAACCGGAAAGATTGTCCTGGGGCTTAGTTGCCGAAGTGCTATCCGGGGTCGAGTCCTCAGTTGGGCGACTAATGATGCCGCGAAGCCCCATACCAGGTTTGCGCATCTGGGGCCGGCTATGTCGAACTTTGTAGACCGTTCCGTAGTTGCCCTTACCTAGCTCATCCAGTCGCTCAACCTCATCTAACGAGATGCTGAAACTATGTCCGGACGAGAATTCGACGCCGCCACCGTGCAGGATCGCCTTGTTCTTGAAATTCAGAGTCCCCGCCTTTGTGTCAATGTACTCTGAATATTTGCTGAATGCCGACCCTCCAGATGCGTCCGAAGAACCATCGCCAGGTGAGCTGGTTCCAGAACCAGTCGCAGGGCCAGTGGCATCTGACAGTTTCAACCCTGGCTTCATTCTTTTTGCGGCCAGGCTGCCTGTTTTCGGTGAAGGCGAATGAGAACCTGCAGTAGCTCCCGGCACTGAGGGTGAAGACGCCCAGTTTTTACCATGAGGGCGTGCTGTCGGGGGAAGTCGTCCGGCAAGTGCACCTCCCATTGGAGGCGATGGCCCTCCTACCGGGCTTGGCGAACCGGAAATGCTTGGTCTGGACGAAGGGATTGTTCCGGTAGAGACAGCATGAGGTAAATGCGGGGGAGCACCCTGTCTGGAGAGGGAGAAGGCTTTCATCTTAGCCAGGATGTCCTGATTCAAACCGCCCGGCTGCGCGCTACTCATGGAGGCGTGCGGCCGTGTCGGCGTCGCTGCACCACGCCGAGCCGCATTGATTTGGCCCAAATGAGTAGACGAAGCACTTATCCCCGATGTCATTTCCCGGTCCAACCGAAGGGATGGTACTGAAGTAAGAGACGGAGGAGCACTGACAGAGGGGGAAAGGTCGTCGTCCGTTGTGTTGTCGGATCGGTTGTCAATTTCGACTTGAGCGGAGGGAAGCTCTGCGACCGAGTCTTGTTCTGGGCTCATTGTAGCCGCGCTCATCGTG